TTTACAGTGTCGACGTTTTGTTTTGTGGAGTACCAACCGGTGCCCGGGCTGCACTGCGCCACGCACAGTGGGCCAGAACGGTGGGGGAGGCCAAAACTCCAGACGCGTTTTGAGGTCCAGAGTCGCTAAACAGGACTCGAACCGAACGTGTGACCTCACCAATGGATTCCTCGTCCGGGGTGGAGTCCATTGGTAGGGTTGCACGTTCGGTTCGAGCACCATTTAGCGACTCTGGAGCTCAAAATGCGTCTAGAGTTTTGGCCGCCGCCACCGGTCTTCTGGCCCACTGTGCGCTGGCCGGGCTGCGGAGCAGCGGTCCCGGTAGTGTCGATATTCATGGCCCCCATTCATGTGGTTCTGTCTGGTCTGACGTTCTCGCCAAAAGTAGTTGCGGCGTGCATTTTAGATCGCCATGCTGACGGCGTGACACTGTTGGATTCCATACCTCGTCACTTGTTTTCCTGCAAGTGCAGCTTAAGTGAATTCGTATTAGAAAAACATGTTTTTTGTTGAGTTCTTTTTTTTTTGCAGGTAAAACGTGTTTAGAGGTGCTTGCGAACCGTTCAAAGGAAGTAGGTAAAGGTGTGAGCTAACTAGGCCAGCGGTTCGAGGCGCGTGGCCCGGCTGGAAAGAGACAGACTTTATGCGGGGTGCCGAGAGGTCCCACCCGTGCGGTCCGAGCGTCGCCTCCAGTCAGCGTTCTCTTCACGGGCCACTTTGTCGAAACATTTTCACTTCCGTTGCCGCACGTTGTCCTACCTGAATACCCACGACTTGGCAGGATGTGCGCCTCCGATGCTCCGGCGCGCTGCTGTCCCCATCAGCCGTGCGGCATCACTGCGGCGGGGCGAGGCGGCGGCGGCGGGGCGCGGGGCGACGCGGAGGCTCTAGTGGACGTCCTGGCGGCCCCCGGGGCCGGCCGACATCCTGGCCGACATCCTGGCCGCTCCCTGCGTCCACCGGCAGCCCAGGTCGTCGCCGAGGCGTCCCGCGATGTCCTCCACACTGCGTGCTTCCCACCAAAACCCGGTGTCCCCCCCCACTGTTTTTTTCTCTACCCGCGGGGGTTTCCCCCACCTGTGTCCTCTCCCCACCCCGTGTCCCCCCCACACTGTGTTTCTACCACCATTTTCCACCACACTGTGTCCTTCCCTCCCCACGCGGTGTTCACCACACTGTGTATTTCTACCAAAACCAAAATTTTCCCCCCCACTCACCAAACCCCCTGTGTCCTTCCCTACCACCGCGGTGTCCACCACACTGTGTCCTCCTCCTCCACCACCACACTACCCCAGGTATCCGTCTCGATCTCCCTTTCTCCTCGATGTCCTTATCCACGCCGCCTGTCTCCCCACGGCGTCCTCCTCCTCCTCCTCGTCCACCCCGGGACGTTTTCTCCGATAGCGGCCTTCACCTGTCGCCCGGCAGGTCCTGCAGGTCCCCGGCCCGATTTCCCGCCCCTGCCGGTCTGGCTGGGCTGGCCGGGCTGGCGGGGCTACTCGCCGAGAATGCTAATGCACCCCCCGAAATTGGACGCACTTTGGCAGCCAGTTTGGCGCGCCGCGCGCACCAAGTCACCGAAGCGCAAAGTCCTTCGGAGGTCCTGCGGCACGCCAAGTGGGCCACGGCGGCGTCTGCACCTCGCCGTCGACCGCGGTGCCGCCTTCGCGGCGTGCTCGTCGGCCTGGCCGAGCGGCGACGAGCCGAACGCGGTACGCCGAGCGCGCCGCGCCGAGGCGGGGGGCACGAAGCGCGAAACGCGAAGCACGCGAAGGACGCCAAGCGGACGGAACGGACGGCGGTGGCGGAGTCAACTTCCCCCGAGCGCGCGAACCGGCCGACTGAGCGCCGCAGCGCCATGCAGCCCGACGCTACCCCCTCCACACGCCGCGCCGCGCCGCGCCACGCCACGTCAAAGGCAGTGCGACCGGCGCGTGCGGCAAACGGACTATAAGCCAGTGGCTGACATGCAGTACACCGCTTGACGCGAAAAACGGCCAAAGGTGAAAGGAGAGGAAGGTCAGAAGCAGTTGAACCGTCCGCCACGAACCAGGGGGTGAGTTTTGTGTCGGAGGAGAGCTGGACTGTCTGACCTACACTCCAAATCCAGGGTGTCTAGAAACTATACGCCTTAGGCGCATGCCACAGAAATGGAACTGCCTTAAGGCGCCTTGATTCTACACGCCAAAGGCGTTTTACCCCATTGAGCCCCTTTTTGCAGATAGAAGTTAGCATGTGAGCACCATTGGTCGAAGGAAAGGTGCGTGCATTGTACACACCCTGGATCATAGGCACTGAGCTCAACAGGACTCAAGGTGCGTAGAATGAAAAACCCCTTTTTAAGGCCTCGGTAGGCATGGCCTCGGACAAGGGCGGTGTTTGCATTCAACGCACCTTGAGTCCTGTTGAGCTCAGTGCCTATGATCCAGGGTGTGTACAATGCACGCACCTTTCCTTCGACCAATGGTGTTCACATGCTAACTTCTATCTGCAAAAGGTGCTCAATGGGGTATACGCCTTTGGCGTGTAGAATCAAGGCGCCTTCCATTTCCATTTCTGTGGCATGCGCCTAAGGCGTATAGTTTCTAGACACCCTGGATTTGGAGTGTAGCCACTGCTCCTTCTTCTCGGCGGACAGCCACCCTAGTAAGGACGGCCATGTCTCCTTTTGCAGTGCAGGCGGACTCGCCAGAAACGGCATACGATCAGTTGTGGTCTAGCCCGTAATGGCAATGGTAATGGGAGGTAGGCAGCGCGCTCACTGCCGTGTGGAGCGGCTGGCCTAGCCTGCCCATTGCAGGCGCTTCTTGGTGCATGCCTGGCAGGCACGCACTTGCTTGTATGCATGCCTTAGCGACGGCAAGTGTGTGCCTGGGGCATGCTGCAAAGAAGTCTGTGCCTGCACTGCAGAAAATAACCACAACAAAAGTACACAAATTTCTGGCAATTTTTTTTTACGAGGAATTTAGTGTAACTTTTCAAGTACAACAATTGTTGTACAAAGTACAACGGAACCGGCATGACGAGTGCTGGGCAGTCCAGGGCTGGCTGTGGTTTGTACAATTCTCGTTGTACTTCCTACAATCCCTGTTATACTTTTATTGTACAGTTTTTGTTGTACTTTTGTTGTACTATCCACACTTTTTCTTGCAGTGTGGTACACACTTGAGTTTGCAGAGTTATTGACACATTGAGAAAACTCACCCTGTGGATGTTTTCGAAACGCGTCCTAGTTTCCAGTAGTGTCATGGCGCCAAGCTCCCGAGCTCCCAGCACGCCAGTGGTCAGTTTGTTTTTACCGTGCAGTGCAGCAACGCTACCCTCCTTTGATGCGGCCTGCGGCTCCGAGGTCCAGCAGGTCCTGACCGCAGGATCAGGCAAAAAGGGGAGAGGGGGGGGGGGGCTGCACCCGCGCGGCCTGCGTGTGGCTTTGGGAGGTTTGTGTTTTGGGATTAGAGGTCAACACACTCGGCGCGGCTTGTCTGGGTTTGTCTCCAGCACGGCCAGCCGACTGATTCCGAGAGTCGTTTTCGTCGCTCTGTCTCTCTCGCACCTGTGCGGGTAGGTCCACGAGTGCGAGAGAGACAGAGCGACGAAAACGACTCTCGGAATCAGCCTGCAGACGGCTACACCGAGGAATGTCTGCGGGGGAGCAATTAAACAAAATTTCTAAAAAGTATTTGAAAAATCATGTTTTTTTCTTTTTTTTGCCAAAATTGCATGTGTTTTGCTTGAACTAGGGGTTAACTAACTTGCCCCACATGAGATAAAGATTATTTAGGCCAAGGCTTCTCCGAAGGACACCACGTAATTAATTAATGGGACGCTCTCCAAACTTTGTTGCCTCTCCGCGCTCCTCGCCTCAGCGTCACCGACTCGCCGACCGCCTCCAGTTTGCAGTGCAGGCGCAGGCCGACCCACAGTGGGCCAGAAGACCGGTGGAGGCGGACAAAACTCTAGACGCGCTTTGAGCTCCGTTTTGAACCGAACGTGTGACCCCATCAATGGACTCCTTGTTCGGAGAGCAATCCAGTGGTGGGGTCGTCACACGGTCGGTTCGAGTCCCATTTCGCGACTCTGGAGCTCAAAACGCGTCTAGAGTTTTGTCCACCTCCACCGGTCTTCTGGCCCACTGTGCGACCGCGTCACACGCCAGTGAGCGCGTTGTCTGCCTCCGTGCCGGGCAGCCGAGCCACCGAGAAAAGTCGCTCCGTCTCCGTCGCGCCCGTGGGGCACTCCGTAAGGGTGTGAGTGAGACAGAGCCTTTCCTTTGAATCGCACGGCAAGCGGTCCGCGTGAAATGGAGCAGACGCTCTCGTTGCACTCACCTGGAGGGGAGCGGGGCGCGGAGCGGGCCACCTGCGTCGCTCGCTCTTCGGCCGATCCGGCCGAGAGGAAGTGAGAGAGAGAGAGAGAGAGAGAGAGAGAGAGAGAGAGAGAGAGAGAGAGAGAGAGAGAGAGAGAGAGAGAGAGAGAGAGAGAGAGAGAGAGAGAGAGAGAGAGATGGCACGGCGCTGCTGCCGTCTGAATCTGAATTTATTGCGGCGACAAAATGTTTCGACTGTCCGAGCCAGGTCCGCAAGGTCCGCCAGGCAGCAGGTCTGGCACCTCCTCGCGTCGCTCTATCTCCGTCCCTCCTCCCTGGCGGCCGGGTCTGGCGCCTCGCTGCGTCGCTCTGTCTCTCTCCCTCTCTCCCTGGCGGCAGGGAATTATATTATGCCGTTGACAACTTGCTGGAGGCGCGCCCGGAAATGTGATGAGAGATCCTTGGTCCTCGGTGGGGCGAAGGTGAGCTAGGTGGGGGAGGCCGGCGGCGTCGAGGCCACGCTTCCTTGCCTCCGTCGTCGGCTCCGTCGCTCTGTCTCTCTCGCACCCTTACGGCACTCTCTATGAGTGCGAGCGCGACAGAGCGACAGAAGCCTGCTGACAAACGCTGTCGCTTGCGAGTCCAGACTGTATGCCGCCTGTCTACGGTGGCAGTGTAGATTTGCCAACCCCACTGCATGTTCAAACTGCAGGACTTTATTGCAACGAACATCACAAGAACTAATGCCGAGCATTGGAAGTGGTGATGCCGTTCTCTTTCGAAAGTGAGGCAGCCGCATCAGATCCCACAGCCCTCGGTGTAACCCTTGAGGTTCTCCCGCGCGCAGTACGGGTAGGTGATCCTGGGCTGCCAGGTGTTCCTGCTCTTGGCGTACATGGTCTTGATGCAGGTGACGGTGGCGCCCATGTCGTTGAGCACGGTGTCACAGGCCACGTTGCACAGGTTCTGGTTGGGGGCGGGTGAGTCGCTGCTGTGGCACCAATACCGGTTGTTGATCTGGAAGAGGCCGTAGTCCTTGGAGCCGTCCGAGTTCATGGTGTTGATGTGCGAGGAGTCGTAGCGAGACTCGCGGTACGCGATGCACATCCACGTGTCCAGCTGGTCGCGCGGCAGCTTGTACCTGAGGGGGACATTTCAGCAATCAAAACTGGCAGGGTGGCACGAGGCGAAATCGCGCAGGTTCACAATCACGCACTGAGAAAACCTTACAAACTATTTGAGGCCTTGCAACACTGTGAAACCAAACGTGGACAAGTCCACACTTCCGAGTGTGGAGTAAGTCTCCACACTTGGAGGTGCAGAGTTTGCAGCCTCCACACTTCAAGTGTGGAGTAGCTCACAAAGCCCCTATCTCTTAGCATGGTGCAAACGTGGACAACTCCACGTTTGAAGTGTGGAGGCTGCAAACTCTGCACTTCCAAGAGTGGAGACTGAAAATTCCACACCTCTGCATTTCAAATGTGGAGTTGTCCACGTTTGGTTTTACAGTGAAAGCAAAGCAGTTTGTTAGAACAAAGTATTTTGAGCATACATTAGCTTACAAAGAAAATACTTCGTAAGTTACGAACTATTTCTTCGTAGAACAAAGTAAATTAGTTTGTACGTGTGTATGCTCAAAATACTTCGTAAGGTTTTAAGGGTGCGGCAAAAGCAGGCACGGTTTAAATTTTGCCTACCTTCAGGGGCATGTGATGCTGGTTGCCTACTATCAGGCATTTTAAAAATCTCACAGGAAGGGGGATCCCCCCCCCAAAAAAAAACAAAAAAAAACGCCTGGGCAAAAGCAGTCATACCCGGGTTTAGGCCCACCCTGGGCCCACCCTGCACTCTGAAAACCTTACTAACTATTTTAGGCCTTACAAACAAAAGCAGCTTGTAATTACAAAAGTATTTTGAACATACATAAGCTTTACAAAGAAAATACTTCGTAATTTACGAACAATTTCTTCGTCTAAAAAAGTAAATTAGTTTGTATTACTAGGTATGCTCAAAATTCTTGTAAAGTTTTAAGCGTGTGGAAAAAAAGGGGTCTATTTTTGAGGAGCAACCCCCGCGAGCCCGTCCAGACCCCCATTGACGGCAGTGCGAAGCACACTGTAGAGATCCAGTGGCGGATCCAGAGTCGGCCCAAGGGGGGGGGCAAAGTAGCACTTTTTGCCTACTTACAGGGGCAAATCGATGCTTTTTGCCTACCTTTCAGGCGGCTATCTAGGGGTCAGGGGGGGGGGGCAATTGTCCTTTTGCCCCCCCCTGGATCCGCGCTTGTAGAGATCTGGCAGTGACTTGCACGCTTTGAACCTTACGTGTTGAGAAGGGTGCGAGCGAGGTCGCAGCGTTCCCAGATCTTGGCGTTGCAGGCAGCAACGCACAGCAGCAGAGCGACCACGATGCTTGAGCGGGCCATGGCTTCTAGTGACTGGCGTCTAGTGCACCTAGTCAGCATCTTTATACTATTTTCAGCCAAACCACGTTTTTGTTTTTTTGCTTGTTGTTCGTGAGGAAGTAGTCCTCGCTTTGGCGATAGCGGTTCGATAGTACTGAAACGAATCACGAACTTCGTGTTGGCATCATTTCGAAGCCCACCGTTTTCAGAAGAGAAGTACGTCAGCAGGTCGACCAATGACAACTGAGCTCATTAACAAAAAACGACCTTTCTTGGTACGAGATGTTTCTGTAGATTCGCTATAAACAACGGCAACGCGGCAACGGCTTCCGCCGAATCCACTGTAACATACGAACAACATAGGTCAAATTTCACTGTAAGACATTTAGAGTGAAGGGCCATAGCGATGGTTGCAGTTTGATATCGAGCGGTCGTCGCTCGGACAGGACAACGGCGCCAATTTCCGAGACCAAGGGAGGCAGAGGGAAGTCCCACACAGAAATTGAAACCCATCACCCATCGGCTCTCGCCAATTTTCGACGTGACGGTACGAATCGACGTGCTTAATTCGCTTCGGGAAACCGTGACTCTCACATATGTGTGGCATTCGGTATCTAGCATGGGATTTCCTACGAAGATACGTTGTTCTGGCAGATGATAACTCACATGTCGTGCCGCATTTCGGCGTGACTGTCATGCCGTTAATTCTCACCTGTCACCTTTCAGTGCACTTAATTCGACAGACAGTTCAAGCAAGCAATTTGCCCAGCAGTTCTTATTGTCAATTTTTTTTATCTCCCACTGAGTTGTGTTGTGGTTCCATAAATGAGCTGTTTTCCTATCTTCTAGTGTCTGTCGATCGTACCCAGTGTACACCCTCGCAAGAGCGTGACTCCAGGTGCGGGCGCAACAAACAGTAGTGTTGCCTTGTAGGCACACTGTAGGCCAGACCTGCCAGGCTTATCCCATACTCTTGAGATACAACGCTTATTTAGATTGCATGTCATTTTATCTTGACGGATGCTTCTACATCAGCGGAAATAAAATGTCAACAATGCTTCTGGTTTACTGTGGGTATTTAATAATTTTTTTTGGAGTAATTGGAATTTTGCAATAGTCTTTCATTCCATAGTCTCAAAATCATTTAGACAAGCTTTGGTGGCATGGAGAAAACAAGAAAAATGAACAAAGACACAGGTATAAGTACTTTAATTCAGAACAATTTGTTATAGCTACATTCTTGTAAAAATATAAGAAGATAAGTCTGTAGTAACAGACAAAGAACCATGAATGAACACTATAATTCTCAAATCTGTAACAAAGATTCCCACTCTTCCTATCATGATAACATAACATTTCTGAGCAGAAGGAAAAATTCCAAAAATGCTGAGATTCATATTCACATAGAGAGAAAAAGAGCCAGTACAAAAAGAGTCGTAAACAAATGATTTGAGTTACTGAAACAAACGTTGTCCGATTTTCTTGTCAGCATGAAAGGAAGAGTTACAGATACAGAAAGGACATGTAAAATCTTTCAAAGTTTGCCGTCAGATACATGATTATTACTACCCGTAAACATTCCACATATTTTTTCTCTCCCCTCCTCACAAGGTCATGATTGAAAGTAAACAACAGCTAACTCTTGTAATACTGTCAAAAACAGATGTAAGACATAAATGACCTTTGGATGACATTTCAGATAAGCTGAGATAAAGTGTGCATAATAAATAACGATTTTCAACAATTAAGACACAGCTTATGCAGTATGTTAAAAGATGTTTCACCATGGTAAAAGCACACAGGACTATACACACCAAAGATTACTGTTAGTTTCTCTAAAATGAGTAATGTGACCGTTAGTCCTGCCTTAACTTTCTTATATGTCATCCACACCACACAACAAACTTGTTAGAGCTTTTTGCACAAAACTGGTCAGTAAACTTTTTTTTTTCAAGTGTCATTCATTTTAAATTGTATATACAAGATTTCATATTTCTTTTGAATTAAAAAAAAAAGAGGTTGAATAATAAAATTAGGTTGAGGTTGAAAAATAAAACCCATTTTAAACAATGGGTATTTCAACAATTCAAAGAGGTAAACACACTTATCAAAAATACCTCAAAATAATGCACAAAACCAGGTTTAAAATTACAAAAACAATTTTGTAAGTAAAAAAAAGATGCAGCTTCTTTAACTGAGTCATGGAAGAGTGACAAATTTCCCCCTCTACCATGACTTGAACATTCATAACCCTGTATGGTATTTTCCAAGGGAAAAAGAGGTAAAATTACAAAACAATTCTTTCATCATCTCTGAGATCAAAATTATTTTTTTTAATTACAAAAGGAGCACATGAGCAGTGAGAAACCATAGGAAACAATTAACATTCATCAAGAAGAAACGAAGACTCTTCTCAGAAAACTGCATCTTTTAAAAGAAACATGAGCCATAATTCAAATTGACTAAGACTCTTAAATACAGATGCCTTACATAAACTCTAGTTTATATTAAAATGTGGCATTAATAAAAATATTCTTAGCTAATAGCTTTTGATTGAAACCGCCTCGATGGAGGCAAGGATAAAAAGGGCCTTCAAGTTCTGCGAATCTTTGATTGACAACCAAATATACACATAACTTAAAATCTTAACCTAGAACATGTTATCAGTCATAACATCAGTACTGTGTTTGGAAGCCAGATTCATTCCTGATGTTTGAACTTCCATGCATAATGCACTAAATTTAAAAAAATCAAAAAAAGAGAATTTTAAATACTGTAACAGAAACCAGATCTTCCAATAAATTAATCCTTTGTGTAATGTACACCTTACATTGTATTATTTGTGTTCCAGATTACACTGGACATGACTGGCTTTGGTATGCATGACTCTTCAAACTTCCATCACCAATAATAATTAATTCCTATTAGTTGTGCAGTATCAATTAGTTTGGCACAATAGAAATTCTGTTGTTTCTTCCAATCCTTACATATTTTTTGAAGGCCATACGCAAGGATTAAACATATTCAGCATATGTTACAGATGGTAGTTCAGCTCAATACCCTTCCAAGCAAAAGACACGAGAAGAATGGCTAACTTGTTGAGGAGACAAAGACAAACACGAAAATACACAACGAAGCTGCCTTGTCCCTCATAGCATAGGTTCAACCAAATCAGATCTCTCTTCAATTCCTTAACAGTCAAAACATCACCAATAAGTATAAGTCCCTCCACAAAATTTAGCAACACTATTTCCTTCAATTAAAAATTCAGGTACTATAAATATTGCCAGCAAAAGACAACTTCAGGAAGATTTTCTAAAGATACAAGACAAGATTCTTTCAATGCCCGAGATCGGGAGAGTTACCAGATGAATGATAATAAGGCACTAAATGAATAATTCAAATGGATATTGGACCACAAAAACTTAAATGTGGAAAACGGCAGCCAGAGCTTGTACACCTCAAACAGCAGAGAGGAGTGTTTGAGCATCAAAGTTGTCATGTAGTCCAGGTAGGTTGCTGTCAATCTCTTCAGGGCAGTTCTCACAGCAGTAGAAGCCACTATCAAAGTTACTTTCTCCACTGTCAGCAGTGAAGGTATTGGAAGGACTGCTGGAGAACGGGTGGGTTTGAAGCAGCATCTTGGCTGATGGGCGCAAATCTGAGTTGACTTGAAGGCAGTCTAGAGCTAGTTGTCTTGCTGCACCTTGAAGAGAATCTGGCATGCGAGGAGGGTCCTTGCTGCACGCAATCTGCAAGTGAATGTTATAGAAAAGTTTTATTTAGTATGGTGACAAATATTAAAAAAAGATTGATTGAGTTTGACTGAATTATACCTTGTACATCAGAGCAAGATGATTGGATGCATTGCTTTCTCTCCATGGGGGCCTTGTTGTTGCCATTTCAATCATACAGCAGCCGACACTCCATATGTCACAGGAGCGTCCATAATCCTCACCACGAAGAACTTCTGGAGCCATAAACGCAATAGTTCCTAAGAGCTGGCCTTGAAACTCTCCTGAGAGAGTACGTGCCGCCTGCAACTGGGCTGCTGTACCTAAGTCACCTATGCGTAAATGCTTTCCTGTGCTATCTACCAAAAGATTGGCACCTGGAAGGAGGCAATTATTAATAATAAAGAAGAAGTGAAAAAATAAAGCATGGGGAGGAAGTGCTTAAGAATTACATACCTTTAAGGTCACGGTGCAAAATGTGCTTATGGTGTAGATAGCTAAGGCCAGTAAGCACTTGCTGAGTGTAGTTGAGAATTACACGCTCACTGAATGCTCCATATCGTTCTAAAAGACCAGACACAGACCCACCGGCCATCCATTCCACAAACATGCTGAAATGAGTTGACTGCCTTGTGGCTCCAATCATGCGAACAATGTTTTCATGACGAAGAGTCTTCAAAACTTCCAGTTCCTGCCTTACGGCATTTTCTACTCGGTCTTGTTCTTCCAGGGAGTTTCGGCAAAATGACACTTGCTTGACTGCCATGATAGTGCCACTTGTCATGTCCCATGCTTGGTAACAAGAACTGAAAGCTCCTCTGCCTAACAAAGGTCCCCTAACCCAATCAGAACCTTCTCTGTACTGCTCATAGTATTCAACGGATTTACACGTGCCTTTGTTTAACACCTCCAAATTCTGAGAAAAGAGAAAAGCCAATAAGAAACTATGAGAAATGATAGATATAAAATATAAATATGGTAATAAATCAAAATGAATGTGTTTACGAACCTGTTCATGAGGGTAAAAAGCTGAGGAGTGTAAATCCCCACTACGTAACCAACTACTGCCATCAGAAAAATCAAATTCATCAAAGACTAATGGTACTACAATTTCTTCATCCTGTTCCTTGTCCAAAACATTTTCGTTTGGAGGATGGTACAACACAATGCCTGGGTTGCTTTCCAAGGAACCTTTAACTGGAGTGCTGTTAGGAGCTGATGGAGTGCCGACTTTAGAATTCTTTGACCACAAGGTAGCATCGGCACAACAATCCTCCAACCTATATTTGAAAATTGAGAACAAATAAGAAATTATTGACAAATTACTTAAGTTTGCAAAAAAAGCAAATTTATTATCTTATTTTACTTTTCCACATTTATACTCACAGTCTACGATCTAATGAGTGTGCTGAAGGTACATCAGGAACAGGAGATCCAGCAATACATGCAGGTTTTGTTGGGAGAACTGATATGTCTTCTGATTTGTTGTTTTTCTTAAAGAGGCTGACTAGTCGGGAGCCCGATGACGCCTGTGTAGGGCCGCAGCGTTTCTGACTGTTACCAGCCAACAACGGAGTGACAGGACTGGGACTAGGACAATTTGAAGTTCCACCAATGCCAGGCAAATTTTGGAACTTGACTGGTCTCTTAGTTCTAGTGCGACTGAGGTCCAAGTCCCTAGGCCTAGGAGCAGATGTGGCAGTTGGAGCAAGTCGAGAAGGTTTGGGAGGAAGCGAAGGTGAGTTTCCTTGGAAAGAATTTGATCTAGCTGGAGAGACATCTGACTTCAAAGCTGATACTTTACGCATCATTTGAGGCGTAGTTGGAGTTGCTGAAATAAAAATTAGAAACATTTATTACTTAAAATAAAGGGTTATTGAAAAAAGAATCAAAGTTGAATTGAGCTTTACTGACACATACATTCTCTTTTGCTGCTGTCACAAACTGGGGACTGAGCCACAGGATTTTGAATCATTTTGCGAAGTCTTGCTTGTAAGGTTGGTTCTAAGGTTGATATTAGTTGACGGGCTCTTTGGATAGGCATAGGATAAGCCACATCCATAGCTACTTTGACTAGTGCAACAAACAAATGTCGGGCCAGTCTATTGACCGTCACATGAGGACTCCGTAATGCATTGGCACAAAATTCTAGCATACTGACTAATCTCTGTCCACCAGCACCTACTGAAAAACAAAAGCAAATTAATACGATATTAACTCCAGAAAAACATATTATATTCGGTGAATAGAAAGCTTGAAATACTTACAAATTGGAGAATGGCTGGGATTTGTTGCAAGGATGTCTGCTTGGAAGGTGTGAAGAAGACGCTCTAACATGACAAGTCTTCCAGCTAATGACTGCCAATTACTGCTAGAGACCTCCCCCGCACATTCTTCTAAAATGCAGCTGAGGACCAGGCTAAGATTTCTTCCTTCATCCATACCATATGAGGGACTGAAATGTGGGAAAGACAGCATAAATTAAAATACAGTATATTAACTGAATCGTAAATACTGCTGCTTGGCAAAATTCTTTATTCACCTTAGTTGAGAGCCTATTGCAAGGTCTCCTTCTTGACCTTTGGCTAACTCTAACAACACATCTATGCTTAATTGTGATGTTCTTCTGTTGCAATCTGCGCATTTCAACAAAAGAGCTCTGACTATGGGGCGGACTAATCTCTGCAGCTCCTCAGCGTCACCAGCTGCTCCTCTGCATCGAGCATGGTTTAGCATTACTTGAAGGCAACGCTGGAATAGAGAGAAACCATTGAAATTGATGTTATTCTCGCAATGTCTTCACAAGCAAAATAACAAACAAAAAACATGAGCTCTAAAGCAACTTACCACCCATGCTTCATAAACTTTGTACACAGGATCAGCAGCAAAAACTGCAAGAATTCGAGCACAGCAGGACAAAACTCGTTGTTGGTATTCTTCATTGTCCGACAAGTGAGCCACAGAGACATCACTTTTGAGTCGTCGAAAGGCAATCTCCCGTGCTTTCCAATCTCTTGAGTAGAGACAGCAAATCAAATCAACGCCAAACACCTAGAAAAAGAGGATGTACTTTAAATCATGAAAGATTTTTTTAAACTAAAAACTTGATAGAGTTACTGTAACAGCAAACTAGATTAACAGTGAGGTCTCTACTGAAAACATACCTTGATCCATTCACTTGCAATACCCAGCTGCTCAGGTGGAATAGCTTCAGTATGAGGTAAAGTGACATCCTCAGTAAGACATGAACAAACTGACGATGAAGAGAGGGACAACTGCATGGATCGGTGCGAAGACTGAGAAGAAGACAGGCTGGTTCCAGTACTGCCTCGCCTTTCAAAGCCTGTTTTGACTGGTTGAGGGCAATTGCCAACATACTTCCTCACTGGCTTGACAGGTGAAGAAGCAACAGTCTGGGTTCTAAGGTTGTGATGCAAATGATTGCTACTGGATGTCTGAGGAGTCATGGAAGGTGAACTAAATGTCATGTCGGTTAAATATGAATGGGTAATCTTTTCTTGGGCAGTGAGTGAAGGGCAGAAGGTTGAGGTACTATGTGAAGTGTTAGCCCATGGGTTATGAGAAGTATGTGATCTAGTCGGGGACATTGGAAGAACTGTCATAGCTGTGTCACCTGTCCACACCTGGCGACACAGAGGGCAAAGTATTGGTTCACCTTGATGGGTGCATTCAAGGGCCCCTGCAATAGACAGACATCAATGAATTAGCCACACCATACACTACATCGAAATTTTTTATGTCAAGATGATTCAACTTACATATTGCCATGCAGTGGTGATGGAGTCGATTTCTGCAACCTGTGTTACAAGTTACTAAGCTTTCACCATCAACCATATCAAGAAGACAGATGGGACACAAGTCTTCCTCATTCCTGTGGAAAAGGCAATTGAATCAAGGTAAGTGCTTCAACTTTAGACATGATCAGAAATTTGCATGCTGAGGAGTCGACTTACTTGATGTTTGGTGAAAGTAAAGACGTGGAATGAACATCACTGCCAGACTGAATGCGACTGTCTTGCGTGTTGGCACATGAAGGACCGTTGCTCCCAAAGCCACTGCTGGCGTTGCTTCCAATGCTGCAGGGTCCTGATTCGTTACGAGAGTCTTGAGCAGGCAGGCACATGGAATTATTTACTCTCAAATTGAGCCTCTCTCTGTACTTCTGGAACAGGCTCTCCACCTGTGGGGACAGAAATGTTTCATCAGAATGGTTTCCTCAACACAAAGCGTATTGTTTTCTCCCTCCATTCCTCACACCGACGCACCTCGAAATTCTTCAGCTCGCGAGAGTAAATTCGAGCATCCAACTCGGGAATTTGGAAGACACGGAGCATGACAAACAGGAGATGCAAGCAATGGGGTCCTCTCCCACAGCTACAAGTCTAAAAAAAGAAAAACAAATACATGATTTACCAGCAAGCTTCACAGATGACGCATTAAGTCACCGGTTCTCATTCTTTCTCCAGCATACGCCAAAAACCTTACAAACTATTTTGAGCCTATGTGAGGAACAATCTATGTCGTTTGTTACGCGAAGAAATAGTTCGTTAAATACAAAGTACGTATTTTGTTTGTAACCTGACGTATACTCAAAATACAATGTGATAACCACCTACTTTTGTTTTCAAAGCCCAAAGCAATATGTAAGGTTTTTTTTGAGTGCGAAGGCTCAGAAAGTTTCCGGGCTGGTTTCCATTTCCAGATTTCCAGCACACTGCACCTAACCAACCTGCGGCCCGATGACGACGCGGTACTTGTGCTCGGGCGAGTCCCCGCCCACGAGGAACGAGTTGGGCCCCGGCTGCTGCAGCAGGTAGAGCCTGGCCTGCTGCACGCGCCGCACGCGCCTCCGCACCGCCTCCATGACGGCCGGGTCCAGGGCGCCGGGGCTGGCCGCGCGCCTGGAGCCGCCACTGCACGTGCTGCTGGGGCTGGACGGCCGCTGCGATCACAGACAAAAAGAAAATCCCAGTTTAAAAAACCAGACAGACACGCCAGGAGAGTGCGAGGACAATTCTGACAGAAACCACGACGTCACGCTTCTTCCTTGGTAAGTTCCTTGCCGCACACTTAAAAAATTGTAGTAGACACTAAATGTTTTTCTTGTACAAATTTTGTACGAGGCATATCACAGTTTTTTTTGCGCACACATTTTTGTAAAGATTTGTACGCAATTTTGCTGAAAAAAGGGGAAATACGTGCAGTTTTTCATACAAAATTTGTACGAAAAATTGGTGTGCACAAAAAACTGTGATGTCTCGTACAAAATTGTACGTAAAATTTACTGTAAAATGCCAAAATTTGTTTCTTTGGGCCCGGATGACCACACGAGAATGCCAAAATTCAGCACTCCGGTGGCCCGGGACGCCAAAATTTGACCTTTTCAGAGGGCGATCCAGGGCCAGGACGCCAAATTTTGGCACCTTAAACGGAGTCCCAGTGGAGTGGCAAGGAATAAATCACCAATGGCCAATGGCGTCCTTACCGATCTAGTGAGGCTGGGAGAGCGCTTCCGCTGTCTGCAACCGCCTTCGCTGGCCAGACTCGGACTCGCCGTGCGCGCCGTGCCGGCCAGGGGGCTGGCCAACGGGCTGGCAGCCGTCGCCAGAGGCGCCAGCGACGGCGGGGTGCGGGACCTGCCCTTGCTGGGGACGGTGATCTGCGGACACGGACGCGCCAAGTAAGGCTTAAGCTTAGGAAAAGGGCTCGGGGGACGAGAAAGGGAACAGACCGCATCGGTACTGGTAACACTAAAGCGTGGTTCTACACGCTTCGCGCTGGAAGACCTTACGCCCTTCTTGTAGCGTACAGCTACAACTTGGAGTGCCCACTAACTGGGCGCCTTTGTCGCCCACCCCACTTTTTGGGGATGCCAAATGTCGCCCAGTTTCTGGGCACCTTTGCCGCCTAGTCAAGGCGTGCACAAACCATTGAGGAACCTGCCTTCACCCACGGCTCAGCAGCCCCTAAGGCAGTGGTTCTCAACCTTAGGGTCGCGACCCCACGTGGGGTCGCGAAAAAATTTTAAGGGGTCGCGGCGAGGTAGCTGGGGTCGTGTTTTGGGCCGATTTTAAGCAGCCACTGCGTCTGATCCGAGGCGGTATTTCGTCCTCCTTCAACGGGCAATTGGTCTTTGGACCTTCCTTTAGCATGCCTTTGTTACGGAGTGTGATTATCAGTCTTAGTTTGGGAGCAGTATTGTCTCAAAGTTGACCAAAACAGTCACAACGATTTTTCAAAGACATTTCTGAGCGTTTCGGCCAACTTTGAGACAATACTGCTCCCAAACTAAGACTGATAATCACACTCCGTAACAAAGGCATGCTAAAGGAAGGTCCAAAGACCAATTGCCCGTTGAAGGAGGACGAAATACCGCCTCGGATCAGACGCAGTGGCTGCTTAAAATCGACCCAAAACATGATTTTTCAAAGACATATCTGAGCGTTCTGGCCAACTTTGAGACAATACTGCTCCCAAACTAAGACTGATAATCGCACTCCGTAACAGAGGCATGCTAAAGGAAGGTCCAAAGACCAATTGCCCGTTGAGGGAGCAAAATGCCCGCCTCGGATCAGACGCAGTGGCATGCTAAAGGAGGGGTCCCATGAGGTCGCGAAACTTTTCCTGGGGGTCGCGGAAATTCTTGGCTACAAATTTGGGGTCGCGAGCCGAGAAAGGTTGAGAACCGCTGCCCTAAGGTGCCAAAGTTGCCCAGAATCTGGGCACCTTAGTCGCCTAGAAACTAGACACCTGTGCACGCTCTTCCATGGAAGAGGGCCAGTTTACTGTATGATTTGTGCACCCCAAGACCGGGCGACAAAGGTGCCCAGAAACTGGGTGACATTTGGCATCCTAAAACGCGGGGCGTGCGCTTCAAGTCCGTTCCCCCCATGCATTTAGATAGGAGGAAAAGAGCGCACGAGCTTTTATACGCTTCAAGAAGCACAGTAAGCGTCTTACGGTGAAAGGCTGCACCAACATAATATGGTGGAGATTTTCTCCATAATACCAACGAAATTCGTCAAAATATCTATAAGGTACAGTGAATTCTTGATGGTATGTTATGATGTCAGCTGCACCACCATAATATGGAACATTTTCACCATAATATGGAGAATCTTCACTGTACAACATTTAGAGTGATGTCGTGCAGACTGTACGCTTCACGAACGGCGTCATGTTATGCCTTTAGTGTTACCACCAGTGCTTCGCTCCAAACTGTGGAAAGTACCTCGGACGCGGGGTCTGTACAGTACTCACCATTGCCGCGGACGATGGGAGGGGCGGCGGCGCTGGCGGGGTGGTGCCGGTGGTGCCTGCAGTGCCTGCAGTGCCCGCGGTGCCGGCCTGGGGCAGGTGGTGACGCGCCACCTGGAGGCAAAGCACAACCGGCAAGTGAGACACATGTTTTCGTGTTTGGCGACACCGGCTAAAGGGTGTTCACTGTTCAGGTGTGCTGCCGGCAGAAATATATGCAAAAAGGAGCCCAAAACACACACACCGAGAAAACCTTACAAGCTTGTTATAACAAAGTATTTTGAGCATAAATATAGCTTAAAAAGAAATGATGATTCGTAATTTACGAAAATTTCTTTGTAAGCTTAAGTAAATTAGTTTGTACTAAGCACGCTCAAAATACTTCGTAAGGTTTTAAGCGTGCAGGTATGCGGTGGGCAGTGGGTGGCGTGTCTTCCTGCCTACTACGCATGCAACTTTTTTCCTCAGCTTTTGTGAGTGCCTAGTGAGCAGGGAGCAGGGTGACGACCGACCGATTTGCCTGCTTATTGTCTGGCAACACTTTTCAAGTTCAAGGCTCTCGGACGCCAGTGTCACCTTAGTAAGGACGGCCATGTCTCGTTTTGCAGTGCAGGCGGGCATGTGTCGGGCCCGAAATGGCATACGATCATGTGTGGTCTAGCCCTTAATAGTAATGGTAATGGTGTGGGTAGGCAGTACTGCCGGCAGGGCTGCACGCGGGGTTGACTAATCGACAGGCGCTGTGGTGGCCCCTTACGGTCCAGGCAGGGTAGGCAATCCCGCAAGGCAGCCACGTCCGCGGGACAGCCTATCCACATGGGGTTCGCGGCCTACGCTGGCCACCCGGTAAAAACGGTACCTAGTTTCCCCCGGAAGCCTATGGTAAAGACATTGGCGATTTCCAGGGAGTTCCCGGAAAAACCAGGTCCGGTTTCTTCCGTGCACAACATTCGCCGCGATGCATGCATTTGTTGTACGAGCAAGATGGCATTTGTTGGCAACCTCAAAGAATGCGACTTCAGTTCCCCGTCCCCCGCCCTTCCCCGAAAAACCACGACCGCGCCCGCGCCTTGGGACCGCGTAGCACGCTTCGGTGAAGACGCACTCCAACGCCACCGCGAGCATGCGCGAGCACCCAGCACCCCTCAGCGGGTGACGACGACGGCGTCGGACAGGCAGGCCGGCCGGCCGAGCGGGGCAATGGCAAGGGATTATGAAGCAACACGTTTTTCGCCGAGCAGGTTGCCCCGGGTTGTTGTCCGCTCGGCCCGGGGAGCGGGGCGAAGCGGGGCCCGGCCTGTGCGGCTTGTGTTTACCACCACGCCATCCGCGGGGCCACGCGGGGCTCGCGGGGGGGCTCGCGGCGGGCCGAGGCCGGGCGAGGCCGGGCGTGGCGGGGCCGGGCGTGGCGGGCCTCATCATGTGAAGTCGCCAGAGAAAGTTGACGCCGCCAAACGGAGTACACGCGCGGCCAGCGGCCGGCACAGCGGCACCGCCACGCCGCTAGCCGAGCTCTGTGCAACACGCAGCAATAAGTGTTCCAATGAACGCGAAAAGGGGGAGGGGGAGGGGGAGCGGTCCGTCCCCACCTCTCGCAGTGTGTGTACCACCGCCTCGGCCCCGACTTGTCCTGCCCTGCCACAACCAAATACGGCACGACGCGGTGCTGCCCCGCGTAGCACCGCGCGGATCTGTCTCGCCGCCCCGCCCCGCCCCGCCCCGCCCCGCCGAGGCGCCGCGACGCAGCTGGCGGGCGAGGCGGCTGCCTTGTGCTGCAGCTGGCTCGGCTCCTCGCAGCTCGCACAGGTCTGCCCCGTGGTGCGCGCGGCGTGGTCCAAGGCTAGAGAGCCGCGATGCAACAGGCGCACTGTCCGAGGGCCGCCTTCGTCGCTCTGTCTCTCTCGCACTCGTGGGGCGTCCCGTATAGGTGCGAGAGAGACAGAGCGACGAAGGCGGCCCTCGGAATCAGTCGACTGCCTGGCGATGCCGCCTGCGACAACCATTCACTACAAACCCGCAGCGCCGCGTCGCGTGCGCCATCCACTTGCATGCCCCTCCCCTCCTTTCCGGTCAGGGGCAGAGGGAAGGAGAGGTCCGCCTCGTCCCTGGAGTGGAGACTGACTCCAAGAGTCCTTTTCGTCGCTCTGTCCCTCTCGCACTCATGGCAGGGCGTCCGGTATAGGTGCAACTAAGACAGAGCGACGAAAACGACTCTCGGAATCAGTCCACTGACTGCAGTCTTTGCCATGCCGCCATGCCCGTCGTGGAACTTGAACTTCACAGACCAGCGTTTCAAGAACACGCAGCAAATCCACTGCATTCGTCTCGTCTCATGTTTACTGCCCCCGACCCCGACAGACAGAATTAATTCCACCGATCCATTCAGGAGAGCGGTTTGTCGCTCTGTCTCTCTCGCACTCCTATGGAGAGAGTCACACTGGTAAAACTGACGCGTAGTTGTACGCTTCATTCAAGCATACAACTACGCTTGAAGACTTTACGCTTGACGTCAAGCGTGGAGAAGAAATTCTCTCATGCATTTAGATAGGCGGGAGAGAGGCGAAATGGAGAACTACCCCTGAAGCCGAGGCCGAGCGTAGTTCTACTACGCTTGAAG